GCGGATTAGGAGTCGGTCTGGACTCCAACGCGGAGATATATATACACATAATGCCATATCAGAAGCACCCACCCAGTATGAATATATATATATATGTATGTATGTAATGTGAATGAAGATGAACTAATTAAAGTAAACAGTCTCGTGTTTGTTGTACATTCGATCCTAATTGCATTTATATAGTGTGGAGGATGAATTTCCAAAGTCAAACCAGTAATGGCAGGCAGTTTGTGGGGATATAGATTCCACTTGCAAGATAAGGAGAGGAGGAGCGACACTCTTTTCCTTTCATTTGTCCGGATGGAAAAGTACCGAGAATCCGTTGACTACTCTTTCCCACTCTCACGATTCATATATATATGGTTAATTAATGATTTAACACTAAGAAAATAAGAAATGCAACCCATCGAATATCAGTTAAAGTTTCTCTGTTTCTCCTCAGACTGATTTCACGACTGGTTGTTGTACAAAGATGAAGATATTTTTGGATTTATTCTTTCATACTGACCTATAACATATAAATGTTCAGTAAAAAATCAATATTAAGAATGATGTCAATACCTGGATTTATGCCTTGAATATCTCTGCAAGTTGAGTGGTAGCTAGCTAGCTGACTAGCTGTATATATTTATGGTCCAAGGCATTTACTTTAGGCCATTTTTATGTTCCTATGGAAGCCATTATATTACAGATACATTGAACTACACAGTATTTTACGGTTTATCAATTCTATATGGGAGGTATATATGATTATATGGTATAAATTCCCTCTTTTTTGGGTATTGATTAGCTAACAATAGAGGGACTATTTTTATGTTTCACATGCATCTCAGTTCTCAAAGGGCATCTATTACTTGGGTTTCCACTTATAGTTGCAGGTCATGTCTAATTCGGAAATGCAGCAAGCGCGCATGCATGCTCCACTGGATTGCTCCTCTTCCTTGAGTTTTTGACTTTACCTGTGATTGTCGAAATCATCATGTGTTTCTTTTGAATTATTCATGTCATCGAACAAAGTTTGACATTTGACATTGTTTATATAAGTGGTTTATTTTGATTTATTAAAAATAATTATTAATCGTTAATTTTAATTAAAAAATTTAGATATTTTGAGATATAAATATCAATAATTATTAACTATCAGATATCAATTGTTAATTGTTTTATAAACTAATTTCAATAAACTAAAAATTAATTTAGTCAAATGTTATTTATAAGAACTTTATGCATTTATAGGTAGATTATAATTCTTGAACCTCTATATAGCTCTCCTATTTTTCAAGGGATCTTTTGTAAAAGTCAAAATTTGGCTAGTGTTTGTTAATAATATCATCTAATTAATGATTATATAAAAACTCATACCGTCCAGCACTTGAACCTCCTGCAAGGCAGGATGTGTTTAGAACTAGTTGAACTTGAATTCAATCCCAAGTCCCCTTTTTCCCATCTCTTCGAAGAAAATTCCTATTGTTCAAAAAAAAAATATAAAAACTCATACCGTCCAGCACTTGGACCTCCCTACAAGGCAG